TGCAAACACAAGACCTCTTGCCAGGAAAGGGGAAAAAACAAAACAAAACAACGCTGAGATGGAAATCAGAGCTGTGGTGTAATAAATTACTCTTGAAATTATCTGAGAAGCACTTAATGAATACAGCCAAAATTTACAGATAAACCCAGGTGATAACATGATTCAGTGACATGTCATATATAGAAGACTTAGTAGGCAGACTCCATAGTCCAGCTGAGAGTCTCTCATACATTCTATCTAAGTATTTAGAGCTTGTTTACCACATTCTTTGGAGATCTTTTTTTCCCATGGAATGAAAAAAATAGATTTTCAAATGTATACATTTAAGTACAATTCCTAATGCATTTCTTTTTAGCCCTTTCTCTTCCTTTAAACTAAAGTAGGAAAAGAAGTGCCATTTTCTTCAATTTTATAAGTTCTACTTGTACAAGTGTTCTCTCTGAAACTAAAAGTAGTCATTTCTAGCAATGTGTTAAGAATGAATGAGAACAAATTTGACAGTTGCTTACCACTTAATAAAATAAGAAGCTCTTTCACTGCTTCCTTCCAAATTTTAAGTACTATAAAGCACTGCAAATCATTCCTTTCTATTTATGAGGCCTGGATGGATGAGCAAGGAGCTCCTGACTGAACTCAAATGTACAAACCAAGCATAGAAGAGAAGGAAGCAGGGGCAGGTGACCCAAGAACTGCACAGAGCCACTATCCCATTGTGCAGGGGTGAGGTTAGAAAAACCAAGTCTGACCCCAAGTTGAGGCTTGCAAGGGATGAGAAGGGGAACAGGAAAGGGTTCTGCAAGTACATAAGCAGCAAAAGGGAGACTAGGGAAAAGATGGGTCTGCTGCTGAACAGGGCAGGGGACCAGGTGATAAATCACACAGACGGGGCCAAGGTACTCAACGCCTTCTTTGCCTCAGCCTTTACTGATAAGGCTGACCTTCAGGAATCCCAGGTCTGTGAAGTCAGAGGGAAGGTCTGGAGCAAGGAAGATTACACTCAGTGGAGGAGGACCAGGTTAAGGAGCACGTAAAGAAACTAGATGTCTGTGGGGCCTGACAAGTAGGACCCACAAGTGCTGAGGAATCTCACTGATGTCACATCTTTGAAGAGTCATGATGACTGGGAGAGGTTCCCAAAGACTGGAAGACCACAAGTATCAATGCCATCTTCAAGAACGGCAAGAAGAAAGATTTGGGGAGCTACAGGCTGGTCAACCTCACCTCAGTCCCTGGGATGGTGATGGAGAAAACCCTCATGGAAAGCATTTCCAAACACATGAACAAGAACAACGTCATTGGGATTAGTCAGCATGGACTTATGAAGGGAAAATCATGCTTAACGAAACTGATTGTCCTCTACAAAGAGGATACTACTGGATGACAGGATAGCAGTGGATGTAGTTTACCTCACTTTTAGCAAAGTCTTTGACCATGTCTCCCATAACACCATCATTGACAAGCTGACAAAGTACAGGTCAGCTACATAGACAGCAATGTGGATTGAAAATTGGCTGAAGAGCCAGGAGACCATTAATTTTCATCAATGACCTGGATAATAAGACAGAGCACATCCTTCAAGAAGTTTGCAGATGATATTAAACTGGAAGGAGTGGTTGATACATTCAAAAGGACTTCAACAGGCTCAAGAACTGGGCAGAGAAGAATCTCACTAAGTTCAACAAGGGGAAATGCAAGTTTTGCACCTTGGGAGGTTGCCAACAGCTTCCTGGGCTACATTAGGCAAAGCACTGCCAGCAGGTTGAGAGAAGTGATTCTCCCTTCTGTTCAACACTGGTGAGGCCACACCCAAGTACTCTGCCCAGTGTTGGGCTCCTCAGTACAAGAAAGAGATGGAACTACTAGACAGAGTCCAGTGAAGAATCGCCAGGATGATGAATGCACTGTAGCATCTTTCATATAGGAAGAGGCAGAAAGAGTTGAGACTGTTCTGCCTGGAGGAGAGAAGGCATGGGGGGAATCTTTTCAACATGTACCAATACCGGATGGGAGGGTGTATGGGGTTTGCGTGGCAAGGTTTTGGTAACAGTGGGGCTACAGGGGTCACTTCTATAAGAAACTACTTGAAGCTTCCGTTACATCTGATACAGCCAATGCCAGCCGGCTCCAAGACAGACCCACCACTGGCCAAGGCTGAGCCCATCAACAACAGTGGTAGCACCTCTGGGAGAACATAGTTAAGAAAGAGGGAAAAACACCTGCACATTTGAAGCCAGAAAAAGAAGTGAGAGTATGTGAGAGAAACAACTCTGCAGACACCAAGGTCAGTGAAGAAGCAGGGATAGGTTGTGCTCCAGGTGCTGCAGCAGAGATTACCCCGCATCCTGTGGTGAAGACCATGGGAAGGCAGGCTGTCCCCCTGCAGCCCATGGAGCTCCATGGTGGAGCAGATATCTACCTGCAGCCCATAGAGGATCCCATGCCAGAGTAAGTGGAGGTGCCTGAAGGAGGCTGTGACCTCTGTGGGAAGCCCATGCTGGAACAGGCTCCTAGCACGACCTGTGGACCCTCGGAGACAGAGGAGGCCACATGGCCACATTTGAGCAGGTTTGCTGGCAGGACTTGTGACCCCGTAGGGGACCCACGGTGGAGCAGTCTGTCCCTGAAGGACGGCACCCTGTTGGAAGGGACCCATGCTAGAGCTGTTCATGAAGAACTGTAGCCCATGAGAAGGACTCACATTGGAGAAGTTTGTGGAGAACTGTCTCCCATGGCAGGGACCCCACGTGGGAGCAGGGGAAGATTGTGAAGAGTCCTGCCCCTGAGGAGGAAGGGGAAGCAGCAGAGACATCATGTGAAGAACTGACCACAACCCCCATTCCCCATCCCCCTACACCACTGGTAGAGGTGGAAGTAGAGAAATCGAGAGTAAAGTTGAGCCCAGGAAGAAGTGGGGGTGGGGAGAAGGTATTTTTTTAAGATTTCTCATTACCCTACTCTGATTTGATCAGTAATAAATTAAACTAATTTCCCTGAGTCTAGTCGCTTTTGATCATGATGGTAACTGCTGACTGATCTCTCCCTGTCCTTATCTCAAACTATGAGCTTTTTGTTGTATTTTCTCTCCCCTGTCCAGCTGAGGAGGGGAGTGATAGAGCTGCTTTGGTGGGTACCTAGCATCCAGCCAGGGTCAACCAACTACAGGGGAAATGAAGAAAACTGAGATACTCTTCTCAGTGACACTACAAAAGGCAATGTGCACATATTAAAAACACACAAAAAACAATCTGAACACAAGAAAGCAATTATACTGTGAGGGTGCACAAATACTGGAAGAGCTTGCCCAGAGAGGTTCCAGCCTTGGAGATATTAAAAATCTGACAGGACACAGTCCCCAGGCAATCTACTCTAAGAGGGCCTGCTTGAGCAGCAGTGTAATTAGAGACAATCTCAAAAGGTTCCTTCCAACCCAGACAACTGGAATAAAGCTGTGTCAGGGGCAGTTCAGATTGGACATTAGGAAAAGGTTCTTCACTAAGAGGGTGGTTGGTCATTGGAACCATCTCCCCAGGGAAGTGATCACGGCACCAAGCCTGTCAGAGTTCAGGAAGTATCTGGATGATGCTCTTAGTCATATGGTTTGGTTTTAGGTAGTCCCGTGAAGAGCAAGGAGTTGGGACTGGATGATTCTTATAGGTCCCTTCCAACTTGAGATAGTCTATGATTCTATCATAATTCTGTGATTAGGTAGCAGTTTTTGTTTCATTGTTAAGGTTAAAGTCATACTACTATTTTTTTGTAAAGAATTTAAAGCTTAGCCATGTGTGTTATGAGACTCAATCAGTCTATTAACACAGTAGGTATAACCATCAATTCAGAAAGCTGATTGTTAATGCTAGAGACTTTGCTGAGAGCAAAATAAAAACAGTTAAAACCCCAGTTCAATCTTTGTATAACTTCACCTCCCAAGAACCTGGAAAGTCCCAGCGAAACCAGTTTAAAGAGGCCCAATTATTCATGAATTATTCATTGAATACAATACAGCTCATAAAGGTGATTTCACAGTGGTATCTGGAACAAACAAAACTGTTGCTGGAAGGGGGAAGGCAGCCAACAGACAAAAGCATTATAGATTTTTTCTGCTAGCTTTCTATTACTTTCTAAAGCCCTATAAGCTCCAAAATCACTGAAAGCTTCTCCTCCACTACTTTAGATTTCTGAAAAAGCTCTTAAGCGCCCTACATTTCCTTTTACCTCTCTTAATTCAACCACCTTGGAAATGTTATGAAACTTAAAAATTTTTGGTTTAATTAGGACTGTATTCAAATACCACTTTGTGGGACAGTGAAACATGCTATCACTTCACTCACTGTTTCTTAGCACTCCGAAGTTATTGAAAAGTTGTTACAGGTAAGACCAGAACTCAAGATGATAAATAAGTGGCATAAGATCTCCCATTTTCTTATATTGTGTCCTGAAGTCCAGTTTGACTGTTAGTGTGCGTCTGAAGCTTCCCCAAATAATATTTTTGCTCTGGGGTTCTAGAAATCATCACAAAACAGGATGCAGCTAAAGATTCAAATGCTTTAAACTCAAAGGGATGGTGAAACTCTAATGAAGAGAGACCTTGTATACCCAAAGCTCATGAAATAATAAAAGTATTAATATACACTTGAAGGAATTTAATATGCATGTTTAAAATTAAAAAAAGACAGATCATCATTTTCACACTTGCAAATGTTGACCATTTCCTTCTAATACAATTTATGATGCATAGTAAAAGCATGTAACAACCTGTAGGTTATCCTGGTGCTCAGGCCAGAACATAATATCACACTATGCTTTACACAGAACTGTTTTGCTTTATCAGTTGATGCTTCCTCTTTTATTCCATTTTATTTCCCTCAGCTCTCTAATTAACACCACCAGTCACTACACAAACTTAGAAATATACTTTTAGAAATCTAGGTATAAAAATGTGTGAACAACAAAGTAGTCTTTATTAAAATTTTTTTTCATACCAGTTGATATCTGCCACTTACCTGAGTGTCTTTCCACCTGGTAATAAAGCTGTTCTCTATATCCATTTGTTTAACCTGGTCTTCATTTACCTGTTTAAAATGAATCATTTTTGATCAATTAATAAGTAGAAGGGAGATGGTATAAAAATTACAACATAAGCTAGCAAACACTGATTTATTAAACTAATTTATTAAAATAAACTAAGATAAATAAAAATATAAATATAGAGGAATGCTTACATCTAAAAATAGTTAATAATTAATGATAATATAACAATAATAAATATCATAACAATTAACAATACTGTTAATCATGTTCCTATAGAAGCAGCTATACTAAATATTCTATCAGTCAGAAACAGCACTGCACTGATGGGATGCATTAGTACAAACCTTATGAAATAAATATTAGAAGAGAAAGGACTCCATGAAAAATTGCCAGACAACGTTATAGTGGCACAGTAAACCAAACCGGCTAATACAAGTTGTTGCTAGTAGGATATTTTCTATCCAGTTGGATTTAATGTTCTTTCTAGTCCTAAGGAACCAAACACTCTCTCTAGTCTTTATTGTAACCACAGCTCAGATACTAAGAACACAGAATTCTTCCATGCTTCAGTTCTGATCAGGCCCAGAAAGTTTGAATAGAAGTAGTGTTTTTAATAGTCATAATCTTAAAATTTTCTTAAAGTTGGTATGCTGGTGTCAGCAAGAAGAATGTGCACCATTTTGGAAAACAGTAGCTCACAGTAATCCTATAAACATAGTCTTTCCTACACAAGCTAAGCTAGCTTAGAAATATAATTTAAAGCAAACAACAATGTCCACTGAATTAGAGTTCAAAGGCCCTGCAAATCCTCAGACAGCATAACTAATAACAAGATCATCTTTAAGAAGATTTCTATATTTTAGCTGAGCAATTAGGACACTTTTATATAAAGATACCTACATCAAAAATTTGTACATAATTTTTAATTAGATCTTCAATTACATTGACTTCTTCACTAGTTTGGCCTTTAGTTTGAAATAAGCATGAGGAAAAGACCATGGCTAGATTGTGAGGGTTCATATGATTGATTTCAGAACACTTCTGCACCCTGTTGAAGGAAAAAAAAAACCATATTTAGAAGGTTTCATTGTTTCTCTCATTGTCTGAGGCTCCTCTACAGAATATGGACTGCACTTCAAAAAGAATAACTACATTAAATGCAGTGAAAAAATATCTAATATTATTTATTTTTTAATATTTATTTCTTTATATTCTTTATCTCACATCTCAAGTGATATCAAAATTATTTAGAATAGAACAGAAAAAAAATATGAAAGAATAGTTCAGTTGAAAGTCTGACTGCCTGATCGTTTAAGGGCTGACCGAAAGTTAAAGCATGTAATTAAGGGCATTGTCCAAATGCCTCTTAAACACTGACAGGCATGGGTCATCAATCACCTCTCTAGGAAGCCAAATTCCAGTACTTGGCCACCCTCCTGGTAAAGAAATATTTCCAAATGTCCAGTCTGAACCTCCCGGATGCAGCTTTGAACCATTCCCATGCGTCCTGTCACTGGATACCAGGGAGAAGAGATCAGCACTTCCCTCGCCACTGCCCCTCCTTAGGAAGCTGTAGAGAGCAACGAGGTTGCCCCTCAGCCTCCTTTTCTCCAAACTAGACAAGCCGAAAGTCCTTAGCCACTTCCCATAGGACATTCCTTCCTTTCACCAGCTTTGCTGCCCTCCTCTGGACACATTCAAGGACCTTCACATCCTTAAATTGTGGGGTCCAGAATTTCACACAGTACTCAAGGTGAGGCCGCACCAATGCTAAATACAGCTTCGCTATGTTAGGTTACATAAGTATATCCTCCAAACTTAACGATCTAAGATCAATCCAAATGTGGAAAGAAATTAGATCCTTCTTAGCTTCCACGCTTATGGTAAAGTTTTCATATCAGTTCTGTTGCTTACACAATGTGTCCTCTTTTAGAAGCAACCACTTTAAAGTATCAGAGAATTTTGGCTGTTATACACATGAATTCAAACTACTTTCAGAACAGATATAACAGCATATTTATATATCTAAACTGGATATAATCTTTATCCCAATAATGGCACCAACAGATTTAATAACCATATAAATAGTTTTAAAGGACATCTGCTAGGTACTTGGCTATGTAATGTAATTTCTGAACACAATATCCTGTAAAGTAAAGGTTCTACACATTCTCTACCCACTACAATTTACCAGGAATATAATTTGACTTGTTCAATAGATCATGTAATATGATATAATATAGACCATTACTATTTCACCATAACATTGCAGAGTCATCCAAGTCACACGTTTTTTATACACTTGCTGCTGCTTATTTGATCTAGGAACACAAGTTGATTAAAAACGTTTATATTTTGGATATTCTTTACCAAAACCCCTGTTGCAAAATGAACCACTGATGAAAAACGGAAAGGTTAGCTAATTCTCAAAGTTATTATGTGCAATACAGATTGTGGAGAAGGACATTTTCCCTGAAAAAGTCTTTTAATTTCAAGAACCATTTGCAATAAACCTCTGGAAGATTAGCAGACTGAGGTAAAATGGGTTTGTATAAAGAAGCTACATTAAAGATTACCCTACTTGGACACATACACTGGCAGCCCTGTCTTGCTGTAAGTCTGTTCCATCCCATTTGATGTTTATAGATACCTACTGCTAAAAATACAACCAAAGAAAAAACAATTTATAAAGGGAATCAAAAATAACTGTCACAACTAGGCAAGCTTTTGATGCTTACTAATTAATGAAACAAGCCACATTTCATTTATGGTAGAGTTATACTGAGAACACAATACAAGAATTTCTCTACTACAGTGCATCATTTGCATTGACCTGTAAAGATGTTCAATTAAAGCAGCCAAAGTTGCCCTATTGACTGGTGGAAGCGTCCGAATAAAAGCTCCATACTTCCTCACCCGTTCCTTTTCATTCTGTGTATCTGCCAGAAAATAATAATCATTGAGCATTAATAACAATGCACACTAAAAACCAACAGCAGCTCTCTAACTATATTGGCATCATCTAGTCATTTAAAATTACAATGTACCCAATCAACCTCTTCTTCATAAAGGCAATACTCAATCTACTATTAACAAAGTCTATTATTGTACACCAGTTCAGGGAAGTAGTATCAGCAATAAAGAGGGCCAGTTCTATATTCAAGCACCATTTGCTACAGTTTAAGACTAAATCCCAGGATAGCAATTGCTTTTCTTCTCAAAGGATATTTAATTTGCAGTTTGTGTGTGGACATGTGTGAGAGCATCTGTGTATGCACAAGTGCAAATATACTTCTAAGAGTTCAGAGAACAAAGGAGAACAAAGGAGAAGGGGTGGTTGTACAAAGTTTTATAGCTGAACAGTGGCAGAGCCAACGATAGGAATTCCAGTCTTGGGAATCACAGTATCTGAGGCACAGCCACAGCTCTCTACCTCCAAGTTAAGACTGCCTTGCTGTGCTCCATAGATACTTCAGAGCATAATCCTGCTCAGGGCATGAGCAAAGTTAATGTAAATTTTATTTATTTCATTATGACACAGTGCAATATTGGTCTACTGTTTATATTTTCAAGGAAACATTGCTTATTATTATTATTATGGTTCACTTAAAGGCAATAAAATAATACCTGATTAACATAAATCTATTGCAGCCAAGCTCAAACATTTTTTTCCTCACTACAATTGTTTTGTTGATTATCAAACAATATAGGTCAACACAGGGCAAGTAATTAACAACCCCCTCAAATTTGATACTGAAAATCTACATACAAACTTTCTTGTATTGAATGCTATGGTATATATTACCTAATGCAGAGATCCAGAATGGATAAAGTTCTTTAGTGAGAAGCGCATCATCTATTTGCGAAAGAAAACTTTTCAATACATCAGTCACATCTTCAAGCTGATGTTTTCCTGCTCTTAGTTTAACACTCCTCGCATCTTTTTTGAAGCTTTCCAGCAGTTCAGCCACATTGGAGGAATTGCCATTCTTAAGGTAGATCTGCTTGCTACCTAAACCTAAGTTACAAAAATACAGGACAGAAAAATAAATAAATGTAAAATCTAGTTCTCATTTAAAAATTCCAAATATTATTACACAAAAAGCATATCTGGCTGCCAAACACATCATATTTCCTACTAAAATCTCTCTGACCTTTTGCACATACTCACTTTGTTAGTAAAAACACTGCCAAGTCTGCTTACACCCAACTAGACCTCTTTGCAAAAATACACATCATAACATTAAGCAAGCCTGGGATCACAATTTCAGGAATACTTTACAGGCATTCAAATCCCCAAATCTCTTCAGGACGTCTGAAAACAATAGTTTTAAAAGGCACAGTAAAGGAAAGAAGTTTTGATGACTGGTATTGTATTGCACATAAAACACAGTCACTTTCATGAGCAGAACTCCCACTATTTTATTACCCTAGTTAACTTAGGATTCAGTAAAGTATTATTGTTTTCATCCAACCTGAAACATTTCACTCTTAAAAGCGTCAAGATTAGTAGAAAGTATTCCTTTTTTCTGATTTTTCTCACATTCAGGAAGATATCAGGCAGCCACTATTCTTGTATCAGTCCAAAGCCAACTTAAATGAAAATTCATAGTCTAAAACACAGGCAAGTCTACCTTCAGTTACTGCATATGAAAGTAGGCAAAACGTTTTGTTTTTTTTTTTTTAAACTTGTGGAAGTTTGGCGTAGCTGTGCAGTCCCATTCTTTTTCTTTGCAGAGGTGTTTCCTGCGTTCCCCATATTTCTTGAAAGATAATTGTATTTTATACAAAACCCTGCTTTTCTTATGTACCTGTCAAATTAAGTACTCTGTCAAAATCTATGAAATCATGTCTCATGTTCTTGCAATTCAGCTTTCCTGTAATGCCCACAAGCACTACCATTTGATACTGTCTTTGTGCTGTTACTGTCAGGAACAGCTGTGGGACCCGATAGTGTCTGTCATCTGTAGATGACAACTAAAGACAGAATCTTTACCGTGATGACACAAAAACACATATGCACACACACTTCAGCTTTCAAATTAATATTTTAACATCCAGTAATGCTGATCCTGAAAAAAGATATTTTTCAATAAAGATCTAACTTATTTAAAAGACAGTAGGAAATTGAATTTTAATTTAGAACACACAGGAGCAATTGTTCTGAGTGGCCAACATAATTACCCTGCTTTAACAACATTTCAGTACATGAAACAGTGTACACTATACTTAGAATAATTCCAATTGCTAATGATTAAAAAAATAATTTAGTGAAAACATTGTTTTTCCTTGGTTTTAGGCAATAGTTGTAACCCAGACACAACAATTTACTATAATGCAGTGTTGCCATATTCAAAAATTATTTTGTTAAACTTCAATCACTCAAATATAAATTAGGCACTCTCATACTGACAGGGGTTACAGACACGTTTATCCTGAAGACAGATTTGTACAGGGTTGATATGTGTTTAGCATTTCACAAGAAAACTGATGAATTTGCAGTAGTAAAAAAGACAAAGACACCGTCTGCATATGATCTAATGCTATGGAAAGTTACACTGGCAAAATTGACTTAAACAAACGGTAACTGACTATACATCCTTAGGCTATTATGAGGAAAAAACAGCAGCCTTAAGACTGAACTCAGTTCTACAGTTAACATAAGTTTCCCAGATGTGCTGAACAGTCCAGGCCATAGTCTTTCCTGGTTCACACACTAATTTTCAGGGGTGAAGTTTTCTGTACTGAGGCACCAGACCCCAAGGCTCAGCTACATCAAACAAACAAGTCAATTTTTAAAATAGGAAGGTGCCTATAAAGGGCGCCTGCCAAGTTGTATTTCCCAAATCTGCCCTTTCTCAGATGTGTGGCAGTGTACTTCACCATCACATCAAAGAGCAGTAAGGCTAATGAGGGACATGGTTTTAATGTAGGTAATAGATAAACTCATTCAATAAGATCTGATCGTATGGGAGCTTAGGTATTATACAAATGATCTCACGTTGAATAAAATCCACTATACTTACCATACTGTGTAACAAATGCTATACAGCTGTTCACTATAATAGGAACATCATTTTTGCTGAGCTGCTGATCTTGTAATGCATTACCATCTGTACCTGCTGCTTTTTCAATTGCAGTATGCCAGACCATGAAATCCAGCTTTGTATGGCCATGGATGTATAGGGTTCTGAAAAGTATAAAAATATTTTGAATGCAGGAAAGAAATAGAAAACTGATGTTATTATACTACAGCAACATAGCAGATGTCTAGAAAAAGTAAGAAATACTTAGAATAAGACATCAAGGCACCTTCTACCACATAAAGCTGTGGTGGTAGCCTACTGTTACAACATCTTTTTTTTTTTCCCTCCAACTGCATTTGTACTAGCAGTGTCACAATAAATGAAAGAAGATCCACAAACACTGTCACAGGTCATTGGAAAGACCTGACCAACATTTTAATTACTCTTCTTCAATCTTGCTCCTACACTGTGCATTCATAAGTTCAGTGGGAAACAGGTTTAAAGACAACTTTCAATACTGGAAAAGGTTTCCCTTCTTTTCTATTCCCCACCTGCACACACACTTCTGTAGAGGAGCTGAGACACATTGAACTTCCCTCCTTCACATGTATCAAAAGGATCACCATCAGGAAATTACAGACCCAAGGGAACATGTATGAAAAAACTGAGTTGAGGTAGAATAAGTTAATGCAACACTTCAATCACACCTGTTTATCTCAAAGCATGGCCCTGTTCTAATTTTTTTTTTTTTTAAACATGCTACAATAATCTCTTCTGTTTACCCCTGACAGGCTAGCTTCTCAGAAACAATTCCAAAATTTAAAAGTTTAAGGCTGCATGTCCATCCATACACATGTATGTAATAAACAACTGTTTTAAGTGTTAAAATAGCAAGCAAGTTTTTCTATGTACATACTCTTTGTCTCCCGCTAAAGAAATGTAAGGGATTTATTTTCTTTAACGACAATTTATTTGCTAATTAGGAAAAGTAAAAATGTTCTACTGAACTTCTATGAAAATACTTTCATCAAAATATAAACAAACATTAATTCTGATTATTTTATTTAGAAAAAAACCAAAGCATTTTATATAATGATGGAATATTTAATTTCAAATTTTGTTTATTAGCATCTTTCAATTTTGCTTTTATAAATATTTCCATTCTAGCATTCCTATCTCAATAGGAAGGGAGGATGCAGTCAATGTACAAACACAGAGACAGGATCTGAAATATTCACAGGGTCCACCACACAGACTTAGCCGTTCAGCAGCAGAGTAGGAGACACTAAGATACTTCATCTTACTGAAGCCCCTTTTTAAAAAATCTCTACTTCATGACTTTGAGAATCATATTAACCACCACACATGCCTGGCTAGTAGAAATACTCAGCCTCTCTCTCCCATTAAGAAAAACCAATAATTTGCAAAAAGCTCACAAATTTTTACAGCAAAATGAGTGTGCCTAATTCAACACTTTCAAATATTTTCTGAAGACCTCTCAGAATAGATATCTTATGTGGGCGGTTCTCAACCAGTGGCTTCCGAACAACACATCACCCTGACATCCTCCAGTATCGCTGCATCCATATATAAGAGGAAATTAGAAAGTTTGAGCTGAATGAAAAAGAGTCTGACAGTGCATGTTACGCTATTCCTTTAGTACCATTATTCACAGATCAGCAGAGGTTAGGACTATGATTTATTTTATAAATCTTGCTTCTATTGTGGAACTTGGATTGTTCATGGAAGGCAACTGATTATTTTCCCAAAAAAATTATTATTTGCCCAGTCAAAAATCTCCAGAGCTGTCACCTATGAAAATCAGACAAGTCAGAGAAGCCATTTCAGCATTTACTACAACACTGTAAAAGACAAAAAGGGAGAAAAGGAAATGAAACCAGTTCCAGACACGGTTCAGAATTCAGTCAATTACTGTGGAAGTGGCTTAGAAAGTTCATCTCAAACAGCAGTATTTTAGGCAGAGAGAGAGAGAGCACACCTAGGATACATTTTAATCATAAAAACATACAACAATGTTGTTTCAACATTCCTTCTAATCTTAACACTTTCAGACAAACTTAACATTTTTTTCCTAGTTAGAAACCACTTTTTGACCTCCATGAACTCAGAAAGTGGTATGAAAAGGAAAGGGGAAATAGCTACCAGCAGAAAAGCAGAAGTTTCCTCACAGCACAGTAGAAGTTTTCTACAGAACTTCATGAAGTAATAGAGACAGCTTTGCAAATCTGACTTCTGCTTTTCATGTCAATGTCATCACCTCTTCAACACAGTTTTCAGAGACGGTAGTAATAATAAATACATGTATTTCTCACTGAACTAATTGTTATTATAAAGTTACATTAAATGCAAGGCTTAAGACTAAGCATATAAATACAGGCTGAAGTGTACTGCCATCTCATGTATCACAAAACTGAGCGACTTCTAAGCTTATAGAAGTAATCTTGTTTGAAAGAATTTTTACTGCAATGTTTACAAAGATCTACCTATCATGCAGACAACTACTTTGCACAGACTCTGAACCAAAATGCATTCCTAGAATATAAATTCAGTGCCTTCTACAGTATATACATATGTGCTGCTACTTCCTGTTCAAAAAATTGATAAAGAGCATATGCTTCATAAAAAAAGTTAACAATAGTGACTACAGAGTGAATAATGGCAGAGTTTTTGATCTGGTAAGTGTGAAGCACGTACAGTCCATACCCAAGAAATTACTATTTAAGTACTCAAACAAACAAGAAAGCCCGCCAACATAGATTTCCGCCTTAGTGAATTGAGGCAATTGAATTGGCACAAGTGACTGCAGCAGTCCAAGATCACCAAGTCTCAACATCAAGGAAGCTATCGTTAGCTTTTCAACTTTTATCATGGACTACCATCACATCCTTCTGCACCAGTAGTCAGACAAACAACATACATGAGCACACCTCATCCACAACAGGGCAAAGGCTCATCTTACCTTTAACCCACTTTGCAAAGTTCACTAGCTTTAGCTATCTATGTCTATGCTTTGTTGCACAACTCTGCATTGGGAAAGCAGTGATACTATGTGCTTCAGGGTAAGGGTTGAGGGGAGGAAGGGTGAAAAACAGACATCAGTACAACTCAGTGCCCTCTGACAATTTGAGTGATTCTAATAATCTACATGTCTGAAAACAGAAAGAATGCATTGCTATGAAATTATATTGGAAACAAATTCACAGACTCACAGAATCACTAGGTTGGAA